GCCAGAGAACCAAGTCACCTAAAGTCACTAAACTTCAAAATATTGAGCTACCAGACAGAAATGATGAATCATCACAGGAAAGGAAATGGAGGATACAAACACAAACCACTGAAGTAACATATCTATAGTACAGTGACCAATTTTAACTAAGCACCGTATATATGAACATTTGGCCAGTGAATACTTTAATACTTCTTAACACTTAATTAGCACTTTCCAGCTGTAGATCTCAAAGCAAGGTGGGTCAGCCATACTATTTTTCTTTTTACAAATGTGTACACTGAACCCCAGAGAGGCCAGGTGATTTGCCTACCACCACATAAGTTAATCAGTAGCAATTCTGAGAACTGAACCTGGGCCTCTAGACTCTCCGTTGGGTGTTTCATCTACTGGACCATGCTGTATTCCATCAGGTTTCACCGGAGAAAGTATTTTTAAGTGAAGCGATTCATCCAACTATCAGATTTTACATACAAAAAAGTATGCACTGAACAATCCCCATTGCTCCTTCCATGCTGCCATAATTCTCCCCACATGGAACCATCTACTCTACAGTTTTAAATGTCTATGATTAACTTTCAAATGTGTAGATTTTTGTTAAAGAACAACTGAACTCTCAGGAAATGAAATTCTTTATGTATGTTACCCTCCCTTCTCATTTCCATTCCTTTTAATGGTTAGGGAGTGTAAAGATTTTAAAAATATATTGATTATCTACTGTAGCAAACAAGGGACTGATGCCAATTTATACCAGCTGAAGATCTGGCTCTATGATATCGGTATAGCAATGACTGGATTAGACGGGCTGACATACAGTGGTTATTAAAATGAACTTTGCATGGGGTTATCAGGCCATAGCAGTTTCAGATAAATAAAGAACTTGCTCTGACTCATTAGCTATCACTTACGCTTTGTCATTGCAGGGAAATCCCAAAGTGGAATTTAAAGCTTCCTCCTTTATCCAGTCTCCCTGTGGACTTTGGACACTTCATTCTAACTTGAGTTGAGACAACACAAATGCGATTTCACAATTTTCAGTTGTTAGTGTCTTTTTAATGTGACATTACTAACTCTTACCAGCTGTGAAGCAGAATTGGGCAAAAGTCTAAGTTCCTTGTGTGCTGTTTGCAGGCATTGCCCATTGCAAGATTACTGAGGCAGCAACACAGTTACAATCACAGTCTGGGATTCCCCTATGACTTTCACGGTAGAAGCATATTAGATAACAATGTGAGCTATTATCATATATATGCAGGGGAAGGTCATTGTGTTTATCCTTTAAGTGCCAGAAAGTCATGTGAACTGAGAAGCCAAACTGTTTTCAACAAGGGCAGAGAGAGCATTCAAAATACACTACAAAAGCCTACTTGATCCTTTGTCCAGCACAAATTCCACAGCTGAACATTTTCATTATGTTTTTAAGAGTTCATATAACTATAAATACTCTGCACTCCAAACCTATGATGCCAGCAGTGTGCCAGGTTTACTGTGTCTCAGAGACAAGCACTGATGAGAATCATGGTCCCAACTCAGCCCCGAGAAAGGGGTTGTCCAATGGGAAGAAGGAGGATTGGAGTTATAATCTCCTGCTCTGCAGCTCTATCTATCAGCTAACATTTGAAAAATATACATTGTCCTTTTACATCTATAATTCTGGGATTCAGATGGCATACAGCATTTTTAATGTGACACTGTAATTATGAAACAAGGAAAATATCCAACAATCGGTCATGCCTTATATTTATTGTAACTTGATAACAATTAAACTGCAATAAAATCAAAATCCTAAACTGCCTTTACAGTATGTTTTCAGCATCACATATCTGAGAACACATAATGGCCATATCCCTTTTAATAAGTAAAAACAATACTTTGCTCTTTTGCCATATCTTCCACAAAATCTCAGAATAGCTTAGAAATATTTCAGAGACATAGATAGCCACAATGAAATCTAATCAATTATCAACACTTCGTTAAAAGCCATTTCAGGTCCTTGAATCCCCCAGCCAATTTTTGTGGTTTTGCAATTGCATTTTCTAATTTTTTAAAATGCTTTTCACGTCCCTGATGCTTGTAAAAGATCCACATAAACATCACAAGGAGAAACTATCTATCTTGGGGAAACAGTGAAACTAATCATAAAAAGTGGTGCCAAATGCCTGGAGAGAGAAAAAAATATTTTTCTGTAATCTTAGTTATAATCATCTTGGAGAATTGGTTAGAATGCAACAAGATGAACATCAATAAGGATCTTAGAATAAAATTTGCTTTACAATATTTCATTAGTGTGTTGCTGAATATTATAAAATCACATCTCTCTAAAAAATTGAAACTTCCCTCCCCAGCTGCCGTAAGGCATAGGGGCATCAGTTTAATAGTACTGCATGGGGCCCCATAAATCCTAAGGATGGCCATGGGTGTACTTTATCCAGTTACGAGCACCACACTTTAGGAAATATGAAAGTAAATTGGAAAGACACCAGAGAGCAGAAAAAATTATAAAAGTTTTAGAAAACCTGAAAAGATTAAACAAACTGCAGGTTTAATATGGGGGTAGGGGGAGGAGACTGAAGTGAGATCTGTTAACAGTCTTCAGCAATGTTAAGGGCTCTTATTAAGAATCATGGTATCAACTATTCTTCATGTCCACTGAAGATAGGACACAAAGTAATAGGCTTAATCTGCAGCAGGGGAGATTTAGATTAGATGTGAGAAAACAGTTTCTCACTGTAAGGGTAGTTAAACTCTGGAAGAGGCAGAAAGGGATGTTGTGGACTCCCCATCTTTGGAGGTTTTTAAGAACAGGTTGGACAAACACCTGTCAGGGATTTTTTAGGTTTAATTGGTCCAGCCTCAAACCCAGGGCTGGACTTAATGATTTCTAAAAGTTCCTTTCAGCCCTGCATTTCCATGATTCTGTGGATGCTACTTCTTCTAACAATAGCAGATTTTAAAAATGTTCAGACCAAAATGTGGATTTTAATTGATGGTGTCTGATTAAGGGTCTTATCCTGCAAACTGCTAGCCTCAAGAGCTAAGTCCTGCATGGATTTTTATTAAATTCCCTAGTTGTGGCATGATTAGAGACAGGGAGGGAGCTGTGCTGTACCTTGGGCCTTCTCACAGATTCAAGAGTGTACTCTATCCCCAGTAACTGTTCCATGTTAAGCCACTTTACTCAGGCTTCTGCACGAGGGAATCTGCTCTCATCTAAGGCAACACTAGTACAAGTGTGTTGGGGGCAGAGAAAACAGTCAAATGAAAAGAGCAAAAAGATCTGGACTAGCAAGATGTTCAGGAAACTTTCCAACAACAGTGTGCATCATGCTGCAAAAACTACTTGGAGAATGTTGAAAATGCTACATGAGCTTTCCACTGCAGGGGAAAGTCTGGGCCAAATTGTGCTACTGGGATAACTATCTTTCCCAGAAAAAAAAACATCTTTATGTTGAAATGAATGAAGGAATTCAGGATTCTAGGAAACACAGAAGAAAAATTACATGGAAAACATGTACTCAGTAATATTTTTAGCCATTGACAGTTATTTTACAATTGGTTCTGTTGTATATGAGTAAGCTATTTTTAGTGTGCATAATTAACAAAAGTATGCTGTATATTAAAAAAATTATCTTCTCCCTCAAAATTAGAAAAAATTGATAACATTTTTAAGATATAGCACTCTCCTTTACACTGAGGCAGGGTAAAAGTCTTAGAGTGCAAAATACCAATGTAGTTTACATTCACTTTATGGTATCTTTACCAGAGAAGTGTAAACAAGCCTTAATATAATGGAAAAATCAGGCCTTTCATATGATTTTTATTTTTATATGCGGTAAATATCAAAATTTCATGGAAAAAATGGACAAAATATAGCTAGGGTTTTTCTCTTTCCAGAAGAATAAAACACAATGGTAAAATAATATTTAAGCATAAATACCATATATGATCTGAATATGCCATTTTATTATTTTTCTCTTAACAAAATATTTCATCTTCCAAGCATTTCTATGATGCTCATCGCTGTAGAATCGATATATTCTACTGCATAATCAGCCTGTCAGAATTTAGAACAAACTACTGTGGCATGTATTTAGTATACATAAGCCTGTAATATCTGTACAGTTGATTCACCTTCAAGCAGCCTTTTAGTGTACATCTGAAACTTACTCCAGGGGCTTCACAATCCCATGACATTCTCTCACAGAACTCTACATATAGCCAAACTGTTGTTTCTTACTTACCATCAATTCCACTTCTCAATAGCAGCTAAATATTTAATGTCAAGATTGTCTTCTATTAAGAGAGCAAAGTTGTAGCATTCTTACTTTTGCATTTTTTAGTTTAAACTGTATTCAGTGATTTATCTTTATAAAACTATGATTAGTTTTCAGGAACCATTATAAATCATAGCATCTCTATACTGCCCCCATATGGGAATATATGAAAACAGTACAAAATGCAGTTCCCTTAAAGAAATAACATAGCACATGCTCTTTTCTCTGCACACATGTAGCTCATTAAAATTAGGGGTTACATTTGCACCTCACAGCAAACACATTATTCTCCATTTCATTACAAGTCAATGGGATTTGTGCTTCTAAAGTATTTGGACACATTAAAATCGCACCACCCTCAGTTCTTGTAAAACTTGCACAGTTATAGTAAGAATTTAATCTCCAGAATAATGGCCACCAAAATACTTTATTTCTGACCACCAAATGCATAAGAGAAAAAATGCCACCCTGACAACTTTAATATAAAGTTTCTTTCTGATTTATTCTTGTATACTGTCATGTTTGTCATATTGTGTTCTTGTACTCATTCCAGAACTACAACAGTATAAAAGTAAAGTCTAATGAAGTTTTGAACATTTTAATGTTTGTTTTGATTCTATGAATACTCAAACCAAGCCATACAAATACAAATGTCATTTATAAATATTGTAGTGACATACAACTTTTACAATCATAAATAGCAGTTACAAACAAATTATAGTTTACCTGAGAACATTTGAGTCCACATTCTTCAATCCTGGGGATTATCTGGCAGTCAGAAGCCCCCAGAATTATTACAAGAAGAATCTGAGTATCAACTGATAGCATCTTAAATTGAAAAAAGAAACACACACACCCTTTGATTTATCCTTTAGAAATAAACCTTCTACTCTGAGAAGTCTTTCTCTCATGCCAAAACTTAAACACCCTGATATGAATTAGTCCCACCCACAGTACCTCTGAGCTAAGCTCCTCCTACAAGTCAACATTTCAAAGCTTTTTTTTCCAATTAATGAAATATGCTGGTCTGTGAAGCAGGCTTGACTCACAATTATAAATGTATGTTCCTTAGTGAAAACTAGGGAAGTACAGTTTCATATCTGGATAATCACATCAAACACCTTCCTCCTGGATTCCAGTATCTTACATTTGAATGAGTCTTGGCAAACTTGTTCCTTGTAGAATGTGTGTGTAAGTAATAAGATACTCCTTAAAATTAAGAACTCACATCAGCTGACAGACAGAATGTGGGAAGATACCATGCAGGGTCACTGCTAATGCAATGCCATCCTTGACCTGCAACACTCTGGCTCTTCTATTCCTCAGTTTTCCATGAGCAGAGATTTCCAGTGTGTAGAAATCAGAGAAAACAGGTAGTTAGGCAATCCCTTCAATAGTCTGATTCCTCAAGTGATGTAGCACAATGGAGCAATAGCATCACAAGATTGATTCTTGCTTCCCTTCAGTAGGAGAGACAAGCCTTTTTTCCACATAGAAATGCGAGCTTTGAATTTATTTTAAGAACTATTTGACCCTTGTTAAAACCCCTTTGTTCTATCCTTTGTGATCAACATTTCAGGTTTTACACAAAATTAGGAAGTTCACCTCTTTTCCCAACTCTGAAAGCAGACCTTAGGTGACTCACAATGCCTAAATATTGTTTCAGTTTAACAAAGGGTGCAGGAACGCCTTTCTAGATACTGCCCTGCAGTGAGACTAACCTGCACCACTCTAGTGGGAGCTCGAGAAAGTCTTGTGCCAAAGATTGGAGTGGTGCCTCACTTTTGCTCCTCGGTGCACAGGGAGGACCCTCCACTATTACACCTGTAGATGGGTACCGTGTTCACACCCTGGCACAGCTGGTTAGCTCCAGAGCAGCAGAATGCTGTCAGTCAAAGCACATTCATTGCACCTTAATGTTGGAGTTAGGCTTGCTGTGCTGGGGTGTCAGATCTGCCTGCAGCTGTCTCCCCCAGGACTTGAACTTCCTAGGGAATGCTGACAAAAGGCTGGCTTGGGAGACCATCTATTTAGGAAAGCACATCATGTCCCCCACCTCATGAGGCTGCTACATGCTGGACTGCTGCTTCATCATGGAGACCTTTTACCCATTCTCTATGATCTTCCTCTTGCCTGCCCAATGCTTCCTCTTCTTGTGTGGCTCTCGTTATTTATATTATCTCCCTTCCAAGACCTGGCACCCTTAGCTCTTTCTTTTGGTAACTTTCCACCTCTCTCCTTTTCCTCCACCTCTTCAGAAAAAGGAAGACACATTTTTCCCTTTGAATCAGTGGTTCTTACAGATAATCATTGTGATCAAAGCACAATCATTAAATATTAAGTCCCTTCTTGTTGTCCTCAATGTGACATGTGCCTGTTGTGAAGTGTGGATCTTATGAAGTATGTTGTAAAGTGGTAGATCTGCATACAGGTTTTTCACAATACAAACATCTTATCAAGCATTACATAATATCATTCAGAATTCCTAAGCTGTACAAAGCCCCCTACTTGTCACAGCCCTTGATAAACACAAATTAGGTTTTACATGTAATATACATGATGCTCTGATGGTATTGTATTGACAATGTGCATTTATTAGAAAATCCATGGATTATTCATTTATAAATGTTCTATGATTTTCATTACCAAGGGTACGTCTAGACTACAGGGTTTTGTCGACAGAAGTTTTGTCGACAGATACTGTCGACAAAGAGCATCTAGACTACATTCAGTTCTGTCGACAAAGCAGCTTGCTTTGTTGACAAAACCCTGTAGTCTAGACACAACCCTACATGCAATAACACCTTCTGTCGACAGAACGATTTCAACAGCTTTTACCTCACCATCAACCTCATCCTCGACCAATCTACATGGGAGGTCCACTTCCTGGACACCACTGTGCAAATAATTGATGGCCATATAAACGCCGCCCTATAAAGAAAACCTACCAACTGCTATGCCTACCTTCATGCCTCCAGCTTCCATACCAGACACACCACACGATCCATAGTCTACAGCCAAGCACTGAGGTACAACTGCATTTCCTCCAATCCCTCAGACAGAGACCAATGGCTACAAGAGCTTCACCAAGCATTCTTGAAACTACGATACCCATACGAGGAAGTAAGGAAACAGATTAACAGAGTCAGACGTGTACCCAGAAGCTTCCTACTCTGGGACAAGCCCAAGAAAGAAACCAAACAGAACACCACTGGCCATCACCTACAGTCCTCAGCTAAAACCTCTCCAATGCATCATCAGTGATCTACAATCCAACCTGGACAATGATCCCTCACTCTCACAGGCCTTGGGAGGTGAAGTCCTTGCCCACAGACAACCCGCCAACCTGAAGCATATTCTCACCAGCAAATATACACTGCACTACTAACTCTAACTCAGGAACCAATCCATGCAACAAACCTCGGTGCTAACTCTGCCCACATATCTACACCAGCAACACCATCACAGGACCTAACCAGATCAGCCATACCATCAGTGGTTCATTCACCTGCACATATACCAATGTAATATACGCCATCATGTGCCAACAATGCCACTCTGCTATATACATCGGCCAAACTGGACAATCCCTACGTAAAAGAATAAATGGACACAAATCAGATATTAGGAATGGCAACATACAAAAACCTGCAGAAGAACACTTCAATCTCTCTGGACACACAATAGCAGATCTAAAGGTAGCCATCCAGCAGCAAAAAAACTTCAAGACCAGACTTCAAAAAGAAACTGCTGAGCTACAGTTCATCTGCAAGTTTGACACCATCAGCTCAGGATTAAACAAAGACGGTGAATGGCTAGCTATCTACAAAAGCAGCTTCTCCTCTCTTGGTATTCACACCTCTAGATCAGCTGCTAGAAGTGGGCCTCATCCTCCCTGACTGAATTAACCTCATTATCTCTAGCCTGATTCTGGCCTGCATATTTATACCTGCCTCTGGAAATTTCCACTACATGCATCTGACGAAGTGGGTCTTTGCCCACGAAAGCTTATGCTCCAATACATCTGTTAGTCTATAAGGTGCTATAGGACTCCTTGTTGCTTTTGCAGATCCAGACTAACATGGCTACCCCTCTGATATCTGGAATATTGTGTCCAGTTCTGGGCCCCCCACTATAGAAAGGATGTGGATGCATTGGAGAGGGTCCAGCGGAGGGCGATCAAAATGATTAGGGGGCTGGAGCACCTGACTTATGAGGAGAGACTGAGGGATTTGGGTTTGTTTAATCTGCAGAAGAGAAGAGTGAGGGGGGATTTGACAGCAGCCTTCAACTTCCTGAAGGGATGTTCCAAAGAGAATGGAGAAAGGTTGTTCACAGTAGTGATGGATGGCAGAACAAGGAGCAACGGTCTCAAGTTACAGCAGGGGAGGTCTAGGTTAATATTAGGAAAAACTATTTCACTAGCAGGGTGGTGAAGCACTGGAATGGGTTACCTAGGGAGGTGGTGGAATCTCCATACCTAGAGGTTTTTAAGTCTCGGCTTGACAAAGCCCTGGCTGGTTTGATTTAGTTGGGATTGGTCCTGCCTTGGGCAGGGGGCTGGACTTGATGACTTTCTGAGGTCTCTTCCAGCTCTATGATTCTATGATTCTAATATTGGTGCACAAGACAAAACTCACTCTACTCATGGATGGAAAATCTTAGAGGGAACACTGCTCACCAGCATAGCTTAAATATTCCTAGGAGATTGTCTAAATTACAGCAGTACCCCAGAGCTATCCTTTGATCCATTGCACTGTCTGGAACTTTTGCAGCACCATGTGCTATAGTTGACCCCAGCAGCCTACCCCAGCTCCCAAACCAGGATTTGCAAATCAGAAGGCAGCCTTACACAGAGCCCATGCTGGGGAAATCTTTCCTGGCTCGATATATGGCTTTTAGGGCCCCTTTATGTCACTCCACCCTTTTATACAGTGTAAAAGGGGCTTAAGTGGAGTATGATCATCTATCCCCAAATAAGGGCACACCATGCTACACAGCAGGTAGTTTTGGTGCACATTTTAATCCTAGTCATCTGACCCCCATCTTGTATCATGGTAATTCAGTGGTCACCAACCAGTAGATCGGGATCTACTGGTAGATCCTGGAGCCTCTGGCAGGGGATCCTGACTGGTGTGGCCAAGAGGCTATCAAGTGCTGGCACTTCAGCTGCCCATCCTCACACTGCTGCGCATCTCCTGCCCTTTGCCTTGGAACTGCCCCTTCCCCTGGGAGCCTCCTGCTTTCTGCGCTGGGCAGGGAAGAGAGAGGAGGATGCTGATGTCAAGGTGCCCCCTCTCACTCTGTGTCCTTTCTCCGCGGAGCAGAGAGGGGGCACAACAGGACTTGAGATAGAGAAAATTTGCTGGTTGCTTTTAAGAGTGCTGTAGGGCCAGGGCAGGGGTGAGCCTGCCTTAGCCCCACTGCACCACCACCCAGGAGCCACCTTAGATAGGTGGAGCCCTGCTGGAGCCCCCAGCTTGAACTCTTGCCTCAGTCATTAACCTCCTCCTGCACTCCAAGCATCCCTGCATCCAAACACTGTCCCAGAGCCTGCACCTAGAACCCCCCTTCTACATCCCAACTGCTTGCCCAAGAGCAGCTCAGAGCCCCTCTCACACTCCAGATCCCTTAATCCAAGACCAGAGCCTGCACCCCAACCCTCTGCCCTAGCCTGATGAAAGTGAGGGAGGATGGGCAAGAGAGGGAGGATGGAGAAGGACTTCAGAGAAGGGACAGGAGGGAGGCGGGACAAGGGTATTTATATTTGAGGTAGATCTTGGACTGCACTTAAATTCAAAAAGTGATCTCGTGCTTAAAAAGGTTGGAGACCACTGTGGTAGTTGATCATTGACATACTACACTCTTTACTGGGATTCAAGATTACCATTCTCATATTTATTAATGAAATCTATTGCATGTCTCTTCTGATATCAGGTGACCTTAAAAGATGTCTGTACTTGGTAAAAGTGGGATCTTTCACAGACTCAAATTAGGGTTATCAGATGATTTGCTTGGTCTTGGACATTTTTATAGCATTTCTTATGCATAACATCTTTTCTCTCTGAAGTCCCACTCACTATCTGCTATTTTTATAGCAAATGCAAGTTGTTTTAATGAAAGAATATGATTTAATTTATCATCTCGTATTCCCCTCTCCCAGTGCTTGCTTTTTTCATGAAAAGAGTGAGAACATAAGAATAGCTATACTGGATCAGACCAAAGGTCCATCAAGCCCTGTGTCCTGTCTCCTGACAGTGGCTACCACCAAGTGCCCCAAAGGGTGAATCTGGCACCTTAATAGTTTGGGAAGGAAAAAGAAAAATCTCTTGATGAGGTCAGCACATCAAGGGCTTTCTGAGCCGAACCCCACATTCTCTGTCTCAGATAGTTAACTGAAACAGATGTATTCAGTTACTTGCAACTTGATCCTAAGTGCAGGAACGGTCATTGGAATCAGAATGTTCTGACCTTGCTGGTTGACAGGAATAAAACTTCCTGTAATGCTGTCCTATGTCACAACTGGAGCCAGTTAATAAAGATCAGTCTCACTTAAGTGTGATTACCCTTTTTACTCAAACAAGAAATTACCACAAAAAACACTGGGCCTATAGTTAGGGGTAGTGGTGAAATCAACTCCTCCTGACTTTCAAAACTAGATTGAACAAAGTGCCAGAAAATGTACTAGAATAAAATCCCCTGAAGTAACATCAAGATGAATTGGCTGTTATAACAGGCAGTTTCTATCACTAGGATTTCTTTCAGTCTGATTCCATCATACTCTTTGTAGCTGAAGTCGGCTTACCTTAAGCCGAGCTTGGTGGCATCACCACAGCGGGAGGCCAACGGGAGAAAACACTCCAACCAGTTTCCCTTAATCCTCACAACTGCAAGGAACACAGGTCCCATCCAGATCTGCCCTCAGTATTCAATTGACATGTCTTAACTAAACCTGCTAAATCGAATGCCAGAAGGTCAATCTCCGGTGCAGCAAGTGAAGATGTGTCCATAGAACCTAGTTCTGATTTTAAGCCCATTGAAGATGTAGAAGCTATTTCTGATTTTAAATCCATTCCAGGTAGCTGAGTACCTTATTAGGAACTCTGCACTGGCTGTTCCTGACAAAATGGGAATGGGATTCTGGTAGGTATTGTACAGTGACTCCAATACGTGCCCCGAGGAATCCCCAAAATGCTCAAATATGGCGTGGGTTCTTTCCTGACTGACAAATGGAACAGATGTCTGTCAGCTAGAGATCTTTAAGGGACCATCATTGGAAGATGTTTCCCAGATCCCCAAAAAGGTCCATTCCTTGGCCAATCCAGGAAGAAAAACTATTAATATATAATCATTTTGCCACTAACTGTCTTCACATTAGTGTCAGAGAAATAAAACAGTAGGTTTAACTGGTTCATCTTGGCTGATATGGGGTGATATCCTGAGAATATATTTTGTAAAAAAGCACTGACTATAAGCATATCTGGGTATGTCTCCAAGAAAATGATATCACAATGTGTTTGTGGTTTTTTAAATTACATAGTGTGCCACTGGATAGATTGGCAATCTCTTTCACTCTATACAGTGACAAGAGTTTTTACAGTTGATGAAACTCTTGTTTGTAAGATAACCATCAAACAGGGTATGGCATATACAATAACAGAGGGTATGTCTACACTACCCTCCTAATTCGAAATAGGAGGGTAATGTAGTCATACCGCAATTGCAAATGAAGCCCGGGATTTGAATTTCCCGGGCTTCATTTGCATAAAGCCGGCCGGCGCCATTTTTAAATGCCGGCAGTTCGAACCCCGTGCCGCGCGGCTACACGCGGCACGGAGTAGCTAGTTCGGATTAGGCTTCCTAATCCGAACTAGCTGTACTCCTCATTCCACGAGGAGTACAGCTAGTTCGGATTAGGAAGCCTAATCCGAACTAGCTACTCCGTGCCGCGTGTAGCCGCGCGGCACGGGGTTCGAACTGCCGGCATTTAAAAATGGCGCCGGCCGGCTTTATGCAAATGAAGCCCGGGAAATTCAAATCCCGGGCTTCATTTGCAATTGCGGTATGACTACATTACCCTCCTATTTCGAATTAGGAGGGTAGTGTAGACATACCCAGAGGGGGTATTGTATGACATAAAAAGAGATTTCACTGTATTTCTATGAATGTTTCACACAGTTGTGTCCAGGATATTGGCCACAGAGCTGCTGTAACCGTAAACTTTGTTATTTGGCTTCTGTGTAATCAGTCACCTATGTATCCATAGTTTACAAAAAATCTCCAACTCTTGCAGCCAAGGGCCTTTAAATATTATCTTTGAGTTATTCATCGCAAATAATTTTTCTTCAACATCTGCTCATGCAAGGCTTGTACAGTTCTATTTTTGTTTAAAAAACACTTTTCATAAACTGGAGTACTGAGAATGGAATCATAAGTTTTCAGGGAAAACATTGCTATGAAGAACTATCTTATTGCCTGTCACCTTCTTTTCAGAGGTAGAGCAAAACATAGGTAAATATGAACTTCCTTGCAGTACTGTTGCACAAAAAGAGCTGCAGTGTTTACAGGTTTTCTCCAACTGGAAAGTGTCTCCACAAACTAAGCATGGAGTCTTCTTGATGTTGTTCTGCAAACCTTAAAAAAAAAAGCAGTCATTAATGAAACCACATTTCAGCTGAAGACCATATTTTAAAAATCCTTGTTATGCAAAATCACAATAACCTCTTCAAAAATTGCTGTCAGTAAAACAGGGCTACATGGTAACTCTACACCTCACGTATGCATGCAAACTCTGTTAATACATGAAAAGGATGGTGTATATAGCACAAACAGACCTTTTTTTAATTGTTGGATGTGTGTGTAAGCCTTTAGGCAAGAGGTTTCAGGTGTCAGTGAAATATGCTCTTTCATTCCAACATTTGGCAAACTGAACACCATGTACTGCATCCTTAAGCTATGTGTTTAAAACACACCTGGCACTATTAGGAAGAGGATCCCTTGTGGGAAATCCCCCAGAAAATGATGATGAGGCTACTTAGCATGTATGTAACACTCAATATCTGCAGCATGCGCTACAAACAACTGGAAATTTTCTTTAACTTTTTAATTAATTTAGAACTTATGAAAGTTAGGGTTTGTGGGCCTTTAAACTGAAATCCTCTTCTTATCTATAGAAGAGATGACAGCAGCAGCAGAACCCACTGCCCTGATAATGTATTTTAAAATTGATCTGGAGAACCATAAAAATTCAATATCTATGCTTGCTTAATCTTTAATACCTCTGCCAGTTAGGTTCTTATTCACAGTCCTCAAATAGCCATCAGCCACAATCAGCAGCCACAAATTATGGTTACTACTGACCTGGATTACATGTGAACAAGTGATACAGAGGTGAAAGTCTCTGTATTTCAATACCAAACTCTTGAGCCATCCACAGACAATAGGAGGTTGAAAGAGACTAATCAGCTATTACTAGCAGAAATAATAAGAACTTGTGACCTCAACACAAAAGAAAAATTAGGTAATATTATGGAGAGCATTATAAAAAAAATGTGTTCAATAGGCAGTGGAAATCCAAAAAGCAAATGAACTTGCTTGCTGTATAAGAAAAGCAAATGAAAATAATCTTCAAAGTATGCTATGCCATTGTATTATATATACAAATAGTATGCTCTCATCCATAATACAATGTCTTGTTCTGGTCATTCTGTCTAAAAAAAATAAAACAGCAGAAATGCAGTGGATTTAGAGGTAAGCAACAAAAATTATTAGAGGCATGGAGAGGCTGAAAAAATGTGGGGCTCTTTATTATTAGAGACACAAATAATATTGAATGTGAAACTAATTTATTCAAAAACTTATACCAGAGGTGGAGCTCCAGCCCACAGGCCACATGTGGTTTATCAAGATTAGCAACTTACCGCTGACAGAAGGTTTGTTTACCTGAGCATCCATAGAGCTCCCTCCACAGCTCCCAGGGCCACAATTCACCATTCCTGGCTAATTGGAGCTGCAGGAAGCAGTGGCTTAGTCCATGTCACTTCTCGCAGTTCCTATTGGCCAGGAATAGCAAACCATGGTCACTGGGAGCAGCGAGGCCTGTGGATGCTCAGGGAAACAAACTGTCTCGTGGGCTATGGTCCACCAGGCGCTAATCTTGATGCATCACGAACAGCTCGTGTGCCAGACGTTCCCCACCCCTGATTTATACAGTATATCTAATGTCTACTTTCCTTCTAAAACATACTATTTATGTAATTTATAGCAAAATAATGCTAAACAACAGGTATTACCTGATATTCTGGAAGGCTGAAGTAAAGGCCAGTCCAAGGGATTCACATTTTGAAAGGTAGGGGGTATCTGATTTACTCTGAGGAAGCTTGAATCTGTTACTCCTTTTGCCTTGTTTATATACTGTGCATGTTTCATCTCTGTGATGTCTTGTGTAGGTTGTAAAACTAAGCTCGGAAAATCTATATACCCAGTGGATTTCATGTGTGCATCCCTTACTTTACAACTTTTCCCTGGTGTCTTCTTGAAAGGCTTAGGTAAATTGCAAAAAACAACTTTTTCAATTTTCAAGTTCATGTTTTGCTTGTCATTTACAGTTCCTATTAATTCTCCTTGTTTTTCATGATTGGGGGAGACACACTGAGCTGTACGTTCCATCCTTGTTAAAGTTTCAAGAAAATTAAAATTAGTGATAGGAGCAGCTTTCTGCCTTGATCTCTTAATGCCAAATCCTTCTACAAAAAGATCCGTAACATGGAATGGAGGCAGATCCAAAAGAGGCTTGAGAGACACAAAAAAAAAGAAATTAAATTTCTCAACAGAATCATACACTACTAAATTATAAATAAAGATATTACTACTGTTCTGTGGATTAATTCTATTTATAAAATGGGCTCATACAGCAGTTTGTGTGTGATGAAAGCTTCCACAACACTGTGACAAAACTCACATAATTTAGAACTTAGTAAGGCGACTAATTTCCCTGTGCTATTTATTTTTCCACTTTATACAACAGACCTAACCAAGGAAAATGTACAATATTATAATGGAAAACTACTGAGATTTAGGCTTTTACAATAAACTCTGTTTTATGTTTACTTCAGTCTATCAAATTCATCACTCCCGTTTGTCTTTATCGTCCATCTTTTGCACCCTGACTGACACCAACTATATACTTTCAGTCGGAGTCTCTTTTCTTTTATACTTGTCTCTGTGATGCCCAGCACAATGGGGCACTACCCCTAGACTAGAGTTCCTTGGCAGTAGAGTATTGGAAATAATAAACAACCATCATAGTCAATAAGTTGAAAGAAACTTTTCCACCCAGTTAAAATTTTCCCCATTCAACTCACCGTTCAGAACAAAAAAAGAGAGAAAAGCGTAAGACTTATAGCATTAGGGATGTGAATGCTTTTTGGATAGTCGAGAACACTAGTTGACTACTCGCTTTCCCCTGCCCTGCTGCCTCTATCAGAAAGAAACAGGAAGGCGGAGGAAGAGGATGGGGTGCTTCAAAGCATTAGCACCACATGGATCCAAGGAATAGGTGAACTGTAAGTTTTGGGGAGAAATTCTATACAACTTAATAAAATGGATCGTGTGGTATGTCCGGGATGGAAGCTAAAACCTCTCTAACGCATCATTAGTGATCTACAACCCATCCTGGACAATGATCCCTCACTCTCACAGGCCTGGGAGGCAGACCAGTCGTCGCCCACAGACAACCCGCCAACCTGAAGCATATTCTCACCAGCAACTATACATTGCATCATAATAACTCTAACTCAGGAACCAATCCATGCAACAAACCTCGGTGCCAACTCTGCCCACATATCTACACCAGCAACACCATCACAGGACCTAACCAGATCAGCCATACCATCACTGGTTCATTCTCCTGCACATCTACTAATGTAATATATGCCATCATGTGCCACCAATGCCCATCTGCTATATACGTCGGCCAAACTGGACAGTCCCTACGTAAAAGAATAAATGGACACAAATCAGATATTAGGAATGGCAACATACAAAAACCTTTAGGGGAACAGTTCAATCTCCCTGGACACACAATTGCAGATCTAAAGGTAGCCATCCTGCAGCAAAAATCTTCAGGAATAGATGTCAAAGAGAAACTGCTGAGCTACAGTTCATCTTCAAGTTTGACACAGTCAACTCAGGATTAAACAAAGACTGTGAATGGCTCGCTAACTACAAAAGCAGCTTCTCCTCTCTTGGAATTCACACCTCCAGAACAGCTACTAGAAGTGGGCCTCATCCTTCCTGATTGGATCCACCTCGTCATCTCTAGCCTGATTCTGGCCTGCATATTTATACCTGCCTCTGGAAATTTCCACTACATGCATCTGACGAAGTGGGTCTTTGCTCATGAAAGCTTATGCTCCAACACTTTGGTTAGTCTGTAAGGTGCCACAGAACTCTTCGCTGCTTCAAAGGCAGAGGTGCCCTTATCGACTAATCGAATAATCAATGCAAATTGCATCGACTATTCGATTAACCGATTAATCTAAATGTAACATCCTTATATAACATGCCCTGTAGGCTGAAATTAAGCATGTCAGACTATATCCAGGACTAGCCCCAGGGAATGCCCTGCTCCAAACACAGTCCTCAGCCTTAGAGATTGTCAGCTTGCCCATCCCAACTGATCTCTATTTTTTGGTTAAAATGCAATTTCCACACACAAGACTTACAAAAGCCATACAAGAAATTTTAACAGCTCAAAATTAACACCTTGAACTGTAACTGGCAACATACAAAACTAGCATGAGTGTAATATTGCTTCCTGGAAGATAATGTTAAAAAAACAGGTATGCAGTTTTTTTACATGAGAGGGCAGGAGTAGGATGCCAGAGGCTCAAACAGAGCTTGCATGAGAGTGCTCAGACTGTGCTCAAGTGCCACAAAAAAGCCAATTAATTACAGAAAGATGGAGACAAAAGATTTATCTCAAGAATGTCACCATTATGTAGAATTATTCATACCTGCCTCCAAAGAAGTTCAAATTTTCCAGTGTCCCAGTTTTTGTCATGCTTCTTCTCAGTAACTATTTTAATTGTGTCTTCTTGTACCTTTGCACATAGCTCTGCTGTGACCGGTGTAGAAGGGAACATTGTTGGGCTAGTATTGATTTCAATCAACCATGGTTTAAAGTCTTCTCCAAGAATAAAGTCTGCCCCATACAACTCAAAACTGCTCTTCCGGGGTTCAACACTCTCTTGAGCCATTCTCATGGTGTAAGTAATGGCTTTTTTCATGGATGGATAGATAACATTTCGCCATATATTGCCTCGACCTTTCTTTTGTAAGTACTCCTGAAATTTGGTACTTGTCCACATATTGTGCCATGGCAATAGAGGGTTGCGGTCTTCAGCATTTTTGTAATGTTTTTGGATAGAATTATTGCAAAGATGAATGGAGCTGTGAAGAGAATATATCACAATTATAGACAGGCAGCAAATTACATATAATTGTACAATGCTACTCAACTGAAAGCATGCAAAAACATCTTAACTTTAAAACAAATTATCTTCATATTAAAATCCCAGTGTTTTTATTAGTAAACTCATTTTCAGTTTACATAATTAATTCCCCTCTAACGTGAGATGAAAGATGGATTTGTGGTCCAAAAACTGGCCTCGGCCTCAGGAAAACTGGAGGTTCAGGTCTCAGCTCTGTCACACACACTTTGTGTCATGGAGGAAGTAATTTAAGTTATCCATCCCCCAGTTCTTTACCTATAAAATGGAGATAATAATGCTTCTCTATCTCAAAGAGCATTGAGAAAATACATTTGTTAATGGTCATGAGTCATTGTCATGGATGCCATGTAAATTCTCTGATAGTGCATCTGCAATGAGTTAATTTACCACATATCCTGCCATCCCCAATCTCTACTATGGCCCTTTCCAAAAATATGTTCTCATGAATATATTTAACATTTACTCAATTTTATTAAGTTGTATAGAATTTCTCCCCAAAACTTACAGTTCACCTATTACTTTTCTTGAATAGTTGATAAACAAACTATAGTATACTAAGGATGTCAATGTGTAGATGACTAACGTTGACCACACACATTTCCCCTGCCCTTGCTGCCTCTGTATCCGAGGAAGCCAGAGCCTGTGAGGAGCCCCCATTCCCATATGGTAACTAAAGGCAACTTTCAAAAATAATCAGAAAGTCAAATAATTCATAGACTGATTTTATAAAATTTAACTCTACCATAATTCCATGGCTAAAATTCAGGGACCTGACATACCGTAGAATTTTTCAGCCTATTCATTCACTATTTTGTATAGCTAATACTTCCTTGGTTACCTGTCTAGATTGTCTAAGTTGAAACGTTGTGTAGAAAATCTCAGATAGCTTTCTTTATAGAACCATATAGTCAGTGGGTTCCAGTCAGTGACAAGAAACCACTGTCTAATATCAAATTTAGTATCATAAATTAGCAAGGGCGTCTCAATGTACTTCTGTACCACCCACTTGTGGTCCTTTATTGGAAATTGATCTGTTGTTTCTACTAGCTTCAGAATATCATCCAGTCTATTTTTGCACACTATTTCTGGAAGAGAAAAAAATAATATGCATGTTAGTATAATAACAATGTATCCACTGACAATATACAAAATGGAACTATTATAGACCATGAGAATTGCCATTTTTCCTATTTATGCATACAAGATCAGTAGTGAAATTAAATAACAAAAAAAAAACAAATAAACTCTCTAGTATGCTTGCATTATGTTTTCTAAACCTTTATCATTCAGACAAAGCCATATATTTTACGTAACTGCTGAAGTACTTATTTTTAATCTAGTGATTATGAGCCCAATCCAGTAAAGCATTTAAGCATGTTCTCAACTTTAAGCATGTGAGCAGTTTCACTGACCTTAACTGAAAGGACCTTCAATGAAGACAATAAAACTACTCCCAAGTTTGCACATCAGCACATACTTAATGTTCTTTTCTGGCTTT